AGTTACACTGCGACGCACTCTACCCCTAATGCGCGAACCAGTATAATTTGCAGAGAATGAACTTGAGGAAGCAAAAAGGAAGCGGAACTGGGATGGAGCATTTCCAGCAGAAGGTCTAAAACAAAGTCAGGCGTTTGAAGCACTTCAGTGATAAGATTCTTGGATTGGATAATGCTTAGCGAGTGCAAATAGTGGAGGCGAGAAGTGCAGCTGTAGTGGTCCAAAGAGCAGCAAACCGAGCAAAGCAGTAAACTTATGCACTTTGGCGTTGGGTAAGTAAACACAAATAAAGTCTGTTGCAGGCAGACGCGACAATGCATTGCAACGCTGGAAACGCAGTCAATTCGCGAAATGGCGTCAGGCATCGGAGTGACAGCGAAACAATCCGCATATGGGGGGATGGCTAGGGCCCGCCGACCCACCCATATAGCGAATCCACTACCTCGACGAACATGGCTCAATGGGGTCGAGCTAAACGCAAGTTCGATCAATAAAACGTTCATGAAACCGTCATATACTGCCGCCATTGTAATGTGTGGTTTGCATTACAACTCGACAGCATCGACCAGGTCACCTCTGCTTCCCTGCTATGAGATACACGCTCTGGGATGTCGCTCACTTCCCACAACAACTCCGCCTCTAACGTTGTTACTGGGATAGGTCGACAGGAATTTGCAGCAGTTTCTAAGCCGATTCGCAAACAATAGTCCGCACTTCACCCTCTTTCAAGCGCTCTGCTTCCTATCTCCATCCATCTCGAATAGTTCTTCAGCAAAGCACTTCATCTTTCTGGGCTGGAAAGGCCAGCAAAGCTTCAAAATTTTGTGAGCAAGTCAAACTCTGTGCAACCTTCAAAGTGACTGGCTGAGAGCCTTCTTACAATTCCATAATATGTTAGCTACCTCAAACCCGTAACGAGTGTAAGAAATACAGCCAGGTGTGTCTAAGGAAATGACCTGGTCCCACAGCGATAAACCTGAACATGGCGGCGCTTTACAGTTATGCGCATTCATTCAATGTGTTGGCATCCACGTTACTGCCGAGCTGGCACATCTGTTTTTTCCCCCAATGTAGGGTTTCTTGTCTCTTCCATCTTTGTTCTAGATCTGCATTTGTTAACAGTTTATCTCCATTGAACCAAGTATTGAGAATTTGGTCTTCTTTGAAATGATAGCGCGTTTGTTTTCACTCTCTATCTAAGTCTTGCAGGGTGAATTTTTTCTTATATTTTTTTTGTCTGTCCAGTATGAAGTGGTGCTGAGAACCTTTCTCTTTTTGTCCAGCTTAGAGTTAATTTATCGCTCTAGGTAATATATTCAAACAAAGGGTAACCATGAACATCTTTCGGCTCAGTGCGGATATGTCGCATTTAATTGCGATTTTCATTCTTTTAGCAAAGGTAAGGATTCTTTTGCTTTTTATCATTTCCTATCTTTCCATAATATAGCAGTGAACTCGCATATAATTGAATTCTTTTTACGATGTGGAAGACTCGCTCGGTGTCCGGAATATCAGCTCGTTCACAAATTTTATTCGCGATAGTATTCACTGCCAGATATCTGGATCTGTTTACGACGTTCATCTCCTACTATAACACTGTTATGAAGGTTGTAGTTCATCTTTCACGTTTAAATAATCCTAGAAGCCATTGGTTTAGGTCTTTTTCATAATCTCTTCATATGGAACGCTGTACCTTATGTTGGTCAAATTTCGTCCAACATACGAAAAGGAATCCGACAGTTTTCGCGTTGAACTATTGTTAATACCGTGTGTTCTGCTTTCGCTTCTTATCAATCACGAATTTTCAACGATGGAAATTCTGTGGACTTTCAGGTTTGCTTACTCATAATGATTAGAGTTTCGTCTTGTACAAATGCCTTTTTGCAGCATATATCTGGAAGCTGTAGCCATAATGCCGCAATTATTCATGTTGCAAGCCACTGGGTCAGCCGAAACTATCACTGCTCATTATCTGTTTGCGCTTGGAATGTACCGCGCATTATACATTCTGAATTGGATTTACAGGTACATCTTTGCTTTTATGCTGTTTCAAAACATGGAATTTTTCCTATCATTATCAGATTTTTCTTGTAATTTTTCCTGTTTTGAAGGAATGAATGATTAGCTGGATGTGCATGCGACTAAGTGCGTGTTTTTTGTTAAATTTGCTTGCAGTAGCATTCTTCTTTGGTTGCAACACCTAGGTTGCAAAGTGTCAAAACTAACACATGTCTCTTTACCTTGAGGTCGTTTGAAGATAACTCCAATACTTCTCTGTTTGCTTTCATCTGCGTAATTGTTATTCTGTGCTGTACTGTCTCAATCCATCAAAGAACAAAGAACAAAGTCGGTAGTCTCTGTCTCAATGTGCAACTATGGATTGCTCCGAGTCAAAAGCCTATCCGAATATTTAGCAAATACCTCAGTTTTTCCTCGAAGTATTGTTATGACC